AGACATAATGACACCAGGAGTGAATTTCATGTTATAATTATGCAGTAAGTTCAAAGATAGTGCTGACTGTACATTACCTTATATTATAAGAATGCTTGCCATGTAGGCTGTGTTTTGCTGGAGATGGAAATGCTTTAGTTGTTGTAGCTGAGATCCTTCCCGTTCCAATGATGTATGGGATGTATTGATTTGATACAAGCAAGTCATTGTTTCATTGTGTACTTTCAACTATACAGTATATGGTCCGGACCCACCGGTGGGCCCATCAAGTTCAACATTCACTGCATTCACTGTGATGAATATTAATAAGACACTGATACTGTTCAGTGTTTTCCTCAATGAACATTTAGAGAAAAATAAATATTCAGGGCGCCTCTACCTCAGTGGACTCTCCCTCAGGGGCCTCTCCCTGGTCAGGCTCATAGTCTGGATCGCTGTTGTCTCCATTTCTGAGACATCGTCCTCTATGTCTGGTTCAATCTCCTCTTCATCTGGTTCAAAACATTTGTCCATGGCCTCTCTGAAAGAAAATCGCCTAATCAGTCGCCTGCTTATTGTGTCAATGATTCAAATGTGAGTAAGGCCCAAATATAACTGCATGAGAGCCAATAATGGAGGGGCATTTACTGCGAGAAAGTGTGAGGTTTTTCTTTCTCGAGGGGCACAGAGCTCGCACCTGTGAGAATGTCTGATACATTGTATCATACAGCACGAGGTGTGTGTGTGTGTGTGTGTGTGTGTGTGTGTGTGTGTGTGTGTGTGTGTGTGTACGCACCGAAAACATCATGGGTGTGTCACTGTTGAATAAATCAATGCAAGTGGTGATCATCAATTGTATATGTTCAGAGGCCTAGTGTGGAGGATAACATTAGGTCTTGAGGTAATTGGATGAAAAACACAATATTTATGATCAAAAACAAAGTCACTCGAAATACAAGAGACGGGTTAATACGGCAATGTTCTGTGGTTATAATAGATTTGTTTGGTTGGTTGCATTATTAAGAATATAAGAAATTACTTTAGAACTCCACAAGCTGTAAAAACAATGCAAGCACTTTGAAATTTGAAAGTTTAGCTCAGCGGTAATGCAAGTAGAAAGGTCAGAGGGTCTCGAGAATCAAACGTTTGCAAACACTGAGAGCACAGAGGATCAGGGGTCAGAAAAGTTTGCACTGATAACGCATGAGTAAAGGTCTTAGGTCACCAAAATCAATGGGTCTTTTTCTCCTCTCGATAGCAATGAATACAAGAAATGTCTGATTTCTGGATATGTTGGTCACAGTCAAACAAAGCATAGGTTAAGGTAAATATTGAAACAATTGTTATATTCTTCCACAGTTTCTTCAGGCCATTATTTCAACTCTGCATATCAACGTCCGGTCAAAGGGGAAGCAACACTGAGCCAAACATAAATGCCACTGCTCCCAAAAGCCCCTTTTACACAGACAATGGCCAATGGGTTCTTATATTACAACATTTTTGCTGAAGGAGAAAGTCTCTTTTGATAAGCACAGGCAATGCTACATGCTGTACATTATATTATAAATGTTGATAATAGCTAAGATATAGGTGCAAGGTGATCACAAGCAGCAGCAGGCCACTGTAGAACATACAATAACAACATGTTTCACTCCTAGCTGTGTTCACATTGGGTAAATTGTCTGATCCGTGAACTACTTTATTTTGACTTTTTCTTACCCTTGCAGAAAGTCAATTCTGCTTTTAATACAGGAAAGTTGAAACAGCGCTTCCTTAGTGCTGCAAGGTCTTATTAAGAATAAAGTTTTTGCACTGATTAAAACTTGAAGACGGAAACAAAATAGCAGATGGTATTGTTTTATGTTGTGGTACTGCATAATGCTGTTTTTCAGATTTTTCTCTGGCAAGTTGTTGCCAAGCTTCACACCCGACACGAGAAGTGAGTAAACAAATGACCAACCCATCTGTTATTGCTTAGGTCAGTGTGCTGTGTTGTTTGGTGTGAGATGTCTTCTCATCCCTGCCGAAGGGACCATTATAGAGCTAGTATACAGTTAGATTCGATCACTCCTGACCCTGGAGTCATCTCCCATCGCGGCAGCTCACTGTGGGACTCTCAGTCTCTCCCTTTTCTCTGAGTATATAATCCATCTCCCCCTACTTCTGCTCCTTGATCCTTCCAGCACCAGCCTCACTCCATTCCCCCACAGCAATCCCGCTGAAAAGACTCTCATACTCACTTCACCCTTCAGGCTCTTTTTCTATAAAGCTAATTTTACTTCAGCTGTCTGGACCTTAGGTAACCTCTGCTGTTCCCACACCTTTGGGCTTTCCTCAACTGAAGGTTAGGAACTACAGCATCCTCTCTCTCTGGCTCATGTGGTTTTTGTTTACACTTTTGGGTTGATTCTCCTCTGTTGGAAAGTTGTTTTCTCTGTCCCTCTACATCCATGCACCTTAGAAAGCCTGTTTTTACAGTACAGTACACGTGAGCGTCCGCATGACCATGTCGAGCTTCGGCCCATTGATGTCTCTCTGAGCCGTCTCCTCAGCCCAAGGAGCACACAGCCCCCCGGACATCCAACTGTCTGTATCCACTTCAAAGGGGGATGAGAGTAAGACAGGCGAGCTCAAACAGCAGCAAATCCTGCCTGTGGGTTCGCCCATTCAAAGACCCTGACCTGATTGTGTGTGTGTGTGTGTGAGGAAGAGAGAGAGTGTGTGTGAATGGTGGAGCTGAACATATGAGTTCCAACATGATGTGTGACAGTGTGACAGGCTCACATGAAACACATATCACACACACAGACATATATAGTCTTTCAAAAGTGCACAGGGTCAGGTGTGGAGTGCCACAAACGTGTGAAATGACTCAGACAACAGGAAGACGAGAGGAAAGTGGTCCGGGGGGGGGGACGCCACTGACATCCTTATAACACACACACACACACACACACACACACACACACACACACACACACACACACACACACACACACACACACACACACACACACACACACCCTGAAACACTCATACCAGACTGCTGTAATCCCTGTGACTGTAATTCTATACACATCACTGGCAAACCGCAGACTTAGGAGGAAATAATGATCATGTTAAAAAGTCAATATTAAGCAAATCACATTATGATGGGGAAATCATCATTCTTTTGTTAACAACATATCTGTACAGTAGTTCAATGTTTGCCTTCTTTATCAATACCAGCACCTCTTTGCTTATGATATATGTTCATATTTGAGAACACCAAGATGTCTGCATATGAATATAACCACCTGACAGTAAGTCAAGCTTTTTCAAACCAGATGACCACATCCTTAAAATTAGATACAGAAATAAGAATGCAGCATTACATAGCTATCGAGAGGGCATATAAAAAGATCCAATTTGCATGCTTTGTTTGTATTTACGTCACAGCAGAGTCAAGACTTCAGTTTGCCGCACCATATAAGATAATACTCCGATAATAATTGCACAACTGTATTTGCCTTTGGAAAGATGGCCCAAAATAACAAAGATATATATTATAAGAAGGATATGTGTAAGTGGCCTCTTGTTGACGGCCAAACAAGCGGTAATATTGACTTCTTAATGAGATGAAAGGGAATCCAATCAAAATAGCATTTTGAGCCACAATGCCCCTTTCGGTCTTACTCCTCCGTAATAATTAACATTACACTCCAGCCCCAGCAGATGAGGACCTTGTAATGAGGGTAGTGAAGTAATGATATCCCATTATGACATGCAGATCCCTTGCTGAATTCACTGCCAGAGCTACGCGCTGTGGCAAGGCAGGTTACCCCTCCAGAATACACTCAGGCAGTAGCAGTGGACTCCTTCATCCTCATACGGCTCAATTTAAGAACGTCAATATGACCAAGGGCACCGGCAAACACAACTGGTAATTGACGCAGCAATCATATTACATTCAGGGCCAGGTAATGTTCATTGCCATGCTATTGAAATTGATTTTTGATGCGCTGGGAAGAAGATACCAAGTTTATTAGCAGCAAGTGAAAAGAAACTCCACGACGATTGGGCGCCATAATGCGAGGTCGTGCTGGGTCACTTTACATTGGTCTCTTTGTGTATTTGATGTTCCTCAGTGGCAGCTCAATGGTGAAA